AAATAATCAGGTTAAAAAACAGAAGTTTTAACACTTCAGCAGTGACTCCTTTATCAAATTTTCCCAGAGCACTCCGGATCCTTCTTAAACCCATAGCTATAATATCTCCCCCCTCCTTCAGTGGAAAGTAAAGACTGAGTAAGTTTTAATCTTCTTTATCTCTAACAGTAAGGAAAGAGTGGAAGAGGGAAGAGAAAGGCTCACAAAAAATGGGCACTCAATAAATGTGTATTTGTGTGTTGAACTGAATCTACTATTGGTAACTGGAGGCAAGCATTAATCTCAACAAATAAAACCAGTTTTTTCCTCCATAAAACTTAGGAGTTGGACTACATCACTAAATCCCTTCCAGCTCCAATATGATTATGATTCCTTTAAATCAAAAATTAACTTTTGATATGACAATCTATAACAATACTGGGCCTTTCCCAAGTTTGACTTCCTAGGCTGGAAATATAAAAAATCCAACATAATATGAAATTGTCCTAAGTCACACACTAGAATACTGTCCAATAAAGACTTTCTATAATTTATTATCTACGTGGCCTTGGATGTCATTTAACATCTTTGGGCCTCAGTTTCCTCATCTCTTTATGGTTGAAGAATTGAGGCCCAGAAAGAAAAAATTAATTGCCATGATTATGTATTTATTAGTGACAGAACCAGGCCTAGAATCCAAATCTCCTGGCTTCCATGTAGAGGACAAGATGGCCTCGAAAGTCTCTTCCAACTCTAAATCCATGCTCTTATGTACAATGGATAGAATGAGATTATCTTTGCAGTATGGGCATAGCTTTGACATGCTAAAAGCAACTAGCATTTTACTGAGAAAATGGAGATAAAGTGTACCCAACTAGTCCTGTCACAAAGAATGGGCAAAGGAGTTCAGCTCAAGTTGAGGAAATCCAGGGGGCAGGTTGAGGTGCATTATTTTGGGGTTTTTTTCTTTTGTATTGATTTGGAATTGGATATTTCATTCAACTGTCAATGCCAGAAATTCTTCTCAACAGACCACAGAAGAAAATTCTTAACAGATACAAAATACATAAGCCCACACAAAAATGAAACATAAAAGCTTCAATGTTTCATTAAGACTTTCTACCACTTTCATTCACAAGCCTTCAGGCAAGAGACAGAGAATGTATGAAGGCTGCCAGGCTTTCACAGAAAGAAATAAGGGTGATCAACCCTCAAACCCTCACTCAGACCCCAAAGGAATTACTTCCTTTTCACCCAGCCTAAAGGGATGTTTAAAGGTGGAGGGAGGGAGTGGTACGTGATTGCAATGCTTGCTTCAGGGAGGAATAGAAGGACAAACATCACTCCCAGGAGACATAAATTACAGTCATAGCTCAGCCTCTTACTCAACACATATCTTTAGGCAAATTACATGACCTCTCTGGGTTTCACTTTTTTTATCTGAAAAAAAGAGGGACAATTTTAGAGAGCTGGACTAGAGGACTGCCAACATTCCTTAATAGTATGCTATTTTTAATTGTCTTTTAGGGTCTCCAAAATGCTTTACATATATTATCTCATTTGATCCTTAGAACAACCATGTGGGGTAAGTGCTATTACCAAAGTGCCCTGATTTTACAGATTAGGAAGCAGATGAGACTGACTGATTGAGTGACCATCCTGGAGTCATAGAACTAGTAAGCCAGGGAGTCTTCCTGACTCCAGGTGCATGAATCCACCTAATGTCACCTCCACGGCTCCCTTCCAACCCCAGAGTCTAAAATTCTGTGCCTGTCTCCCTTCTCTCCTCCATCCCACTCAAGAACACAAAGGGTCTGCTACAGTCCCATCTTCACAAGAAAAAATTTGGCAAAGGGAGATTGAATGGTATGGTAATGTAAATGTAGAACACAATTTAGTGCCTCAACTAACTACTAACTTTCAACTATGAGCACACTGTCTGACTATGCTCAATTGTATACTTATTAAGCCACATCATGCATATAATATATCAACAGCCATAAATCACATGCCTAATAGATGAAATTAAAAGATTCAAATGAAGCCAGGCTCAGTGACCTTCCTAAGCTAATATGACCCACTAACACATTTATACACCTGAGAGAATTAGCATTTCCCACCTTTAAAAACAGAAAAAGTAATACAGATCCATAGTGCTAGCAAATTCTAAAGACCAAGCACGATCCCCAAAGCAAGTATTTTAATATGTATGAAGCAACAGCAGTGGCAAAAGGCAGAAAGGCCAAAAAAAATTTGCTAAGTTAACATATGGGTCTAGGCAGCATTAAGCTTTGGTTATATATATATACATATATATATATTTAGAAGCAGTGAAGAGCATGGGAAGACAGCATAGATAGAAATCTAGCTAGGTTTTAAATGCATTGTATTCACAGCCTACCTTTTCAGACCCAACAACATACTCACAGGGCAGTATGATAGAAAGAAAAAGAAAAAAAAGAAAGGAAAAAAGGAACAAGCAAAAATTAGAAACACACAAGAACAAAAAATTTTACTAGCTACAACACAACCCAAACCACAAAGAATCTACCACCAGCTTGCGTGTATGTATTTGGGGGCGGAAATTTAGTTCCAAGTAAAGTACATCAGTAAGACAATCAATCAGATTTACAACAGAACAGACTAGAGGCTAGTCACTGGAATCAAAACTTGATGAGAGCTGAGAGAGTTACAAGAGTCAGGATTATTTCAGACTGAATGTTCAAAGGATAACAGATTTAGATCTGAAAGATCATCTAGTCCAATCCCCAATTTACAAATAAGAAAACTGAGGTCTAGGGAGGTTACGTGATTTGCCCAAGGTCACACAAGTGGCAAAGCCAGGGAGTTGTCATCTGACTCCACATCTACCATTCTTTCCAGTGCGTCATGTGTATAACTGTGTTGGTTTTTTTTTTTGGTGAGGCCATTAGGGTTAAGTGGCTTGCCCAGGGTCACACAGCTAGTAAGTATCAAGTGTCTAAGACCAGATTTGAACTCAGGTCCTCCTGACTCCAGGGCCGGTGCTCTATCCACTACACCATTAGCTGCCCCTGTATAACTGCTGTAGAGAGGGTACCAGCAAGAGCTAAAAATCAAAGAGTCTCCACTCAAATCATGTTTTAAAGTAAAAAAAAACTTGATAGTGAAAATGGTGGGACAGTGAAAGAAGGAAAAGTTTACCAAGTACCACACAACAATATAATTGGCTTGTTGATTTTATGCACACTGAAGGTACTGTATTTCCCACCCCAAAGCATGAAGGCTTGATGATGAAAGTTGAAGGGGGCTGATACAATTTGCCCTCAGAAAGCAAAGAGGGACATCAATACCTCACCCCCTGCTACTTCAAAAGAAATAATAATAGCTCCTCTTTCCATAGCACTTCATGGTTTCAAAGACTTTTAAGTGCATTACATGTCCCATGATCTTCACCACAACCTATGAGGCAGGAAATAGGCTGGTTATACCAAGAGTGTGGCCCCTTCTTACAAACCAGGAAGCCAAAGCTCAGATGGTCAGTGACTTGCCCAAAGTCACACACCAAGGAAGGCCATGGTGGAGCTTGGACTTGAATTCAGATCTTCTAGCTCTGACTCCAACACTCCTTCTACCCCACTGCTTTTCAAATAAAAAAGTAGCATTGAGGGCTATTTCACTTGATACTCTGGTGTATTTAATACTCATAGATGGATTTGTGGGTTTTGCCCCTTTAAAAAGGTTATTATGATTTGTTCCTCACAACCAACTCATAAAGTAAGTCAAAGTAAATCTAATCTTTTCCAAGTGAGGAAATAAAAATTCTGTCCAGTCTCATTTATTAAGCATTTGTAAAGTATCTGCTGTGTGCCAGATACTGTGCTACTAGGCCCTTAGGGATACAAGACAAAATTGAAAATAGTCCCTAGTCTCAAGAAGCTTATATTCCACTGATTTCCATGGCAAGAGGAGAGGCCTGAATTGCTTTGCACCAGACTCACAATACTGTTGAGCCCAGTTTCTCTCACTCCTGCCTACACTTTCAGCTCAGGATTTATCTACAGCCCCAGTATGCCTCATTTGAGCCGGACCAAAAGGATCATCCACATTCTTCCACTTATGAACTCATGACCCCCTTTCACTATAAAGCCAAGAACTGATTTCAACAAATGAGAGAGGAAAGTCAGATGATGGAAGAAACTTCTTCAGGTAGGAAGCAAGGCTATCACTATAACAGAAAGTCTGAATCCTTCCTTTCCCACCCATCACACAGCCCTTATTACAATGGGAATAGAAACATACAGCAAACTTTAAGATGGAAAAAAAATACCATTAGCATTTTAGGGTCTAAGCATTGACATCTCTGACACGCATCATGACAACTTCTACAAGTGTAGAGGTGAAGACTAAGACACTGTGCACATTAGCTTTGGAGAGGCAGGGCACTGAATAGAAAAAGCAGCAGACAAAATCAAGAGATTCAACTCTAGTCCTGCCTCTAATTCACAGTGTGGTCTTGGGCAAGTAATGAGAATCCCTCTGGGTCTCAGTTTCCTCACTTGTAAAATGAGAGAACTGAATCTGATCAGCATTTCCCAAATTAGGTTGTGTAGAGCTCTGGTGATCCAAACAAAATTTCCAAGAGGAAATATCTAGGTTTCATATTTTAGAGGAGTAAATAATAAATTTTGTTTTAAAATACTTATAGCAAGGATTTTTTTTTGCTATGAAAGTAGATTTAATTAAGTCTGTTCTTATACCAAAATTTCCCTGATACCATTTCCTGTCTCATCTTTAATCCCACAAGTATTTCCAACCTTGAGTTTCTCTGGACCTGAAGTTATGGGCTCCTATAATAAATTTCATGCACCAAAGTGTTCTGTGGCCAAATTAGTTTAGGAAATGCTAGACTATATGAGCAACATATGACTCTTCAAGCTCTCAAATTCAGTCACTACCCTTTTTTTAGAGAGGGAATTGCAAAGTATTATACCTCAAGGCTACCACTCCAATCTTGCCTCCAGGTAAACACAACTACTTACCTGCTATCTGTGTCCAATCCTACAAAGTCCTTCTTTTCAAATGGTACACACAGAAGAGGAATCTTATCTCCAGACTTATCAGTGGCTCGGTCTAAGCGTTTGGATTCCAGGACAATAAAAAGGGATTCAATGAAATCTTCAATTCTCTTCTCCACTGACTCACAATCATCATAATTGGGATAAAATGCCACATCTGTTCGAGGCTGCTCTGCAATCTCACCCTGCAGCCCAAAAACAAACAACCGGGAATCGTAGAGTGTGGAACCATAAATTTCCTTCTGGACATGGAACTTCTCAAAGGTTTGAGGCCAATCCTTCGCAGAGAAGCAGTCTGTTACTGTGATGAGGCCCACAACTTTTCGGTGGGTTTGGAAATCTCCCCATTCATTGTTCTCAGGTGGGTAATGATGCCTATAGCGGATGTACAATACTCGTTGTGAATCTCGCACATTTATCTGGCTCACAGATGAAATTCTTTTGTAGATCCTGAAGAAATTTTCCTCTGAGACAATCCCTACTGGCTGTACCACAACCAGCAGAGTTTGGTGGTCCTCAGCACACTGCATGTAATCAGGAACACTCATTGTGGAGCCACTGGACGCTATTCAAAAATAAAGAATAACTGATAAAGATCTCATTTTCTAGATACATAATGGGCTGATTCATATTTATAAGAATAAGAGCCACGTTCCAATTCACAAATGGTCAAAAGATATAAGGAGCCAATTTTCAAGGGAAGAAATCCAAGCTATCCATAGCCATGTGAAAAAATTCTGTAAATCACCAATAATTAGAGAATTGCAAACTAGAACAATTCTAAAATTTTACCTCATGCCCAATCAGATTGGTAAAGCTGACCTAAAAAGGAAAATAACAAATGTTGAAGGGGCATCAGGAAAATAGGCACATTGATACACTGCTGGTGGAGCTGCAAATTGATCCATCCATTCTGGAGAGCAGTTTGGAACTATATCCAAAAAACTCTTAACGTGCATAACCTTTGACCCAGTGATACCAATAATAGGCCTACACCCCAAAGAGATGAAAGAGAAAAGGATGTTGTATGTAGAAAAACACTTAAAGTGGGGGCAGCCAGGTGGTACAGTGGATAGAATACTGGCCCTGGAGTCAGGAGGACCTGAGTTCAAATGTGGCCTCAGACACATAACACTCACCAGCTGTGTGACTCTAGGCCAAGTCACTTAAGCCCAACTGCTTCACAAAAAAAAAAATACTTAAAGCAGTTCTTTTTGTAGTAGCAAAGAACTGGAAACTAAGGAGGTGGCCATCAGTTGGGAAATGGCAGGACAAATTATGGAATATGAATGTAATGAAACACTTTTATATTACAAGAAATTACGAAAGAAATCGGTTAAGAGAAACCTGGGAAAACTTGTATGAACTGATGTAGAGTCATGTGAGCAGAATAAGGAGAACAATTTATATTACTACAACATTATAAAAATAAATTTAAAAGACTTAAGAACTAATCAACTATGATTCCAAAGGAACAAAGATGAAGAATGCATCCCATCTCCTGAAAGAGAGATGATTGGCTAAATAGGCAAAACGGGAAAACATTTTTGGACACAGCCAATATGGGAATTTGTTTTGCTTGATTTGTTACAAGGGTTTTTATCCTTCTTATTTTTTTCTGGGGAAGGAGGAAAGGAAATGGGGGTGAGGGTTAAAACAAATGCTCGTTAATTGAAAAACTCAAATTTAATTTTAAAATAATAATAAAGAGAACATGAAATGCAAACTATTTCTGGTGCTTGTCCTCCTTTGAGATACACTAATTGTACTATTTATTACATAAGCATATCTTGAATACCAATAATCCAGCCAATGTTATTACAACTGAAGATAAGAAAAAAGCCTGGACCAGGTGATTTCACTAGTATAAAGAATTTCTTCTAAGATTGCAGGTTGGCTCCTACTCTGCAACTTACAAGTCTTTCCTGGCTTCGAGGGCAACTTTGTATCCACTACTCCATACCATTTTTCCATTGTAAATAAGCCCTACCATAAAGTGGAGAGACCATACTGTAACGTCATTCAGCTAGTCACCCTTTTAAGATATTGATCTTACAAGACTACTCCATACCAGCATGTAGTCTAAGACTGCCTTTTCACAGAACCAAGCTGGTACAATAAGGCGGAGTTGGCCTAAGCAAAATAATAACAATGATAGAGTTTATCTTTGGTATTCTCTTGCCTCTCCTTTCAGAGTCCCCATTTAGCCACTTTCATTGACTTCTCCCTCTACAAAAGTTCTCATGCTACTTGTGGTTCCTTAAAGTCCCATTCACAAAAGTATACCTAGGTTTATTGTCCTTGCTATGGTCTACACTTTTCTTTACCTCCCTCTCCCCCCATTAAAACTTAACCTGTCTTATGTCCCTTCCCTCATGGCCCTGTTCTCTACTAGATGACAATGGATGATGATGCATGGTGATGACTTGTGTGTTGGTGAACATGTGTTACAGCACCCCCAACATAATTCAGTTAAAATGCCTGTCTCCACAAGGACCATGATAAATCTATTGGAGGAAGCATTAGGCACCCAGGAAGACTGGTAAGGATACATGCTGTGGGTCACAGGGACCGTTTAGACTAGAAGGCAGGTGTCTACTCCACCCAGTGGCAGTAGTAGTAACACTGATGGATGTAAGTACTCACCTATATCTTCCAGACACCCCAAAAATAACACAAATAGAGAGATAAGAGTGAAAATAAACAAGAGGACAACATATGCAAAATAAATAGTCCTGGCCCTAGAAGTAAATTCCTATGAACTCTTAAGGTACGAACTTCCCACCAGTTTACCCTATATGATATCATTTTATGGCTGTCTCCATTGTCCATCTTTAACATAAATCTACAAGGGGCATAAAGTTGGACACAGGTGACCTCTAGAGAGACAGGTTGGTATAGTGGCTAGAGAGCTGACCCTGAAGCCAGGAAGACCTGGGTTCAAGGTCTACCTCTGAAACATAATGGCTATGTGTCCCTAGAGAAATAACTTAATTTCTCAGTGTTCTAAGCAATTCTCTAGAACCACATATTACAAAGAAGGTGCCAATCTATATTGGTAGAGAGAGTTTCCTCACTTGGAAGTTCTCTATACCAAAGAAATCACAGGTCCAGTCCCCAGATAGCCTCTAAAGTCTCTTCTAACTCGAAAATGAAAATTTTAGGATTTGGGTTCCAGACTCGAAAATTTTGAAGCATAAAGGAAATTATAACCTACATCATTAACAAACTACTTATTGTCATTTATCTTAGATGCCTCACATGCATCAAACATTGACCTAAGATAGAAACGCCAACTACATTAATGAAATTGAAGGCAAGGCAATGTACTCTGCGCTATCAACAAAAAAAAAATGTGTTTTGATCCTACAGGCAATAACAACACAGAACCCAGCTCTCTTAATTCTCAAATAGATTACTCAATTTAATTCCAGGCAACATGATACAGTAGGGGAGATGAACTCAACCAGGAGTCAGGACACTGAGTTCTAGACCTAATTCCTTAACTGTGTAAACTTAGCTATACCTCCATAAGCCTCAGTTTCTTTATTTGTAAAAAGAAAATGGATTAAATGATTTCTAAGGTCTCTTCCTTAGAAGTTCTAAAATCCTGGGACTCTATCACCCTACAAGCCATGCTATTACTTCCTACAATGTCTTTATTCTGTGAAGGTATTAATACCAAACACACAAACATATATTAAACTAAATTTCTGGGATATTTTGAGTACGCTTACCATTTGGTACAATAAACACCTATAAAAAGCACTGTGTGGGGAGTTCTGCCTGGAGATAAGGTAATAAGACAAAATGACTTCCCTGGGACCTTTCCAACATTATGAATGAACTCCAAGTTACAATGAACTCCAAAGTTGCCAGAATTTCAGCAAGTAACAAAACCCTAGAGCTACCCAGGTATTGACTGAATTGTCAGTTTACTTCTGGCCTAGGCCCCAAAAGTATGTCCCATGCAGAAGGAAACACCTCTCCCATAATTAGTTAAGCAACTGAAGATTGCTGACTTCCCCTGCTCAGAGTATGATGAAACAGAACCCACTATCAGTACAGAATACTAGTGTCCAGGCCCCAAATAGTAATAAATAGTATTTTTCCTTGCCCCAACACAAAATAACAGTTTTCTAAAAGTCTTCCCAGTTAGTACTTAAGACAGCAGCAGTCACTCACCTTCTAAATACTACCTCTCACATTTTCTTCCTTCATAAAAAGTATCAAAGTTTCCTTTCATTTGAACCTTCACCAATTTGAATTTCACAAGATCACTGAATGTCAGAATTGAAATGGACTTTAAAGATCATTTAGTCCATTACCCTCATTTTACAAATAAAGAAACCGAGGCCCTGAAATATTAAGTGAATCGCCCAAGATCACAAGGGTATGAAACAACAAAGCCAGGATTTTGACCTAGGCTTTTGATTCTAAACCCAAGGTTCCTTCAGTAGTATGTTAAGTTCCTTGAGGGCAAGGATGATTTCACCTTTGTTTTTCTGTATTTCTGTTCCTAAAATAGTGCCTGGCACATAGTAGGTGCTTAATAAATGCTTATTGATTGAATGATTGATTATGCAATGCTATGTTCCAAAAATAGTGCCTGGCACCTAGTAGGTGCTTAATGAATGCTTACTGAGTGATTATGCCATGCTATCTCAAACCCTTATTTTCTAAAAAGGAATAAAATGCAAAATAAAGGCCCAGTTCTTACACCAGAAAACCAGTGCTTAAAATATATTAAAGGTATTTCTTAGGACAGTAGGTCGGGGAAGACTCAGAATACAATTCAATAAAAAAAAGACTGAGGGAAGAAAATGGAATTATGGAAGGACTGAGAGTGACTTTCTCATTTAAAGCCTTTTCTGGAAATTGTTAAGAGTTTAAAGCAGAGAGAATTTCATCCCAAGTGTCTGCTGGCTCTTCACTGTTATTAATAACAACTCACATTCATGCCATGAGTAAGCTCATCACTTAACTGAAACAGCCTTCTCCAAGGTTAGCAATAGGCTCTGAATTTCCAAACCTAATGACATTTTCTCAATTCTCGTCTTTCTAGACCTCTTTACATCATTTGAAACTGCTGAGCATCCCCTCCTCTTAGATATTCTAGCTTCTAGAGGATCATGACATTGCTTCTTGATTCTCTTCCTACCTGTTGGACCACTGCTTCTCAGGATCTTTTGCTAGTTAATCCATAGTCTGGCCCTAACCCTGGGTGTTCCCTAAGGATCTGTCCTAGGCCCTTTCTCTTCTCTCTTTAGTTGATCTACTCAGATTCCATGGATTCAATTATCAGATCAATCCACCCTGGGCTCCAGTCCCAAAGCATCAACTGCCTAGTAGACAATGCCAATTAGATGAACCCGTGGCATCTCAAATTCAGTATGTCCAAAACAGAAATCATTATCTTTCCCCTAAACCCACCTCTCCCTAAATTCCCTATTTCTCTTGACTCAAGGACCCCACCATCCTTCTTGTCACCCAAGTTGGCAAACTTAGTCATCCTCTACTATTCACTCAAACTCACCCTTTCATCTCCAATCAGCTTTCAAATATTGTCTTTCTAGCTCCAGGACTTCACTCTGGTACCCTTCTCTCCACTCACACAACCATGCCTTACTTGAGACCCTCACCACTTCAAGCCTGGACTATTGCAATAGCCTCCTAAAATTGGTCCCCTGACTTCAGTTTCTCTTCTCTCCAATACACCAGCACACAGCTGCCAAAGTTATATATTCTATAGCACAAGCCTGGCCATGCTACTCTCCAGTTTGAAGCTCCAGTGGCTCCTACTGCCCCTAGCATAAAATACAAACTTTTGACATTTAAAGCCTTTCTTTCACAGTCTGGCTCCAGCCTACCTTTCCAAGCTTATTACCCCTCTGTCATGGACTCTGTATTTCAGCCAAACTGGTCCACTTGCTGTTCTTCACACACCACATTCCATCTCCCACCTTTCTGCCTTTATGTGTGCTGTAACCCATACTTAGAGTGCATTCCCTCATCAATCACCTCTTCCTGAAATTCCTAACGTCCTTGAAGGCCTTCCTGATGCCCCCAGGTGGTACTTCCTCCAACATACATCAAAACCACTTTATATTTTGTATTTACTTATATATGAACATGTTTCCCCTGATAGAATGCAAACTTCTTGAAAACAGAGACTGTTTTTTGTCTTTGGTACTACAATTCCTAGCAACACAGTAGACACATAATAAATGTTTACTGATTGACAGAGCACTTTAGGCTTGCAACTATGTACAAACAAGCTATACACAGGATAAGGTGGCAATAATCAACAGGAAGAAGGTACTATACATGTTCCGCACAAAAATTACCATCCATATGGAATTCAAACTCAAAAATGTCTAGTGATTCTTCCAAAGTCACATAGCTAGGAAAGGGAAGAGCCAAGATTCAAACCAGATACTCCTGATTGTAAATCCAGTGCTCTTTCCATCAAATAGGCTGCCTCCCTAAACTGGAAACACTTTAACCAAGAACAGTAGCCATCCTCCAGAGGAGGCATACTGTGAAAGGAATGTGAAAAGAAGTAGCTCCCTTTTAGACAGAGGTGTATACTGCAATACAGGTCACTGATAAGCAAAATAATTTCTGTCTCATCAAATGACTTAAGTTACCAACACTTGCTGAAATGGGTATAGTTCTTAACTGGTTTCCCCAGGAGATGGAATTGCTTTGGAGGCAAGTGGCAGAAGCAGAGAGCAAGATGGTCTAGAGCAAGGGTGGGGAACCTGCAGCCTCAAGGACACATGTGGCCCTCGAGGTCTTTAAGGTGTGGCCTTCTGACTGAATCTAAACTTCACAGCACAAATCCCCTTAATAAGAGGATTTGGTCAAAAGGCCACATGTAGCCTTGAGGCCAAAGGTTCCCCACCCCTAGTGTAGAGGATAACCCTAGACAAAGAAGAACCTGAAGCTGACCTATCTAAGGAATGTAAAATACTGAGAAGTACACTAGACAGAGAAAATCTAGGACTCCTGGTTCCACAACTTAATACTCACATGGACCTAAGTACCTCTCTGAACATCATATTCTTTATCTAAAAAATAAGAAGTTCAGACTTCTGATACAATGGAAAGACCATTGTATTTTAAATAAGACTTGGATCTGCTACCTTTGGTAACTATAGGCAGTGACCACAATGTCATATAATGACAAAAAAAAATTGTTACTGGAGCTGGATCACCTGGATTCAAATCTTGATCTGTGTTTTACCCTTACAACCTATAATATTAGACAAGTCATTTCTTCTATCTCAGCCTTAATTTCTTATCTGCAAAATTAGAGGATTAGTCTAAATGAGGCAGCTAGATGACTGCCTAGTCTAAGTGTTGGACTTAGAGTAAAACAGACCTGAATTCAAATCCTACCTAAGACACTTACTAGCTGTGTGACTTTGGCAAGCCACTTACTGTCTCTTAGCCTCAGTTTCTTCATCTGTAAAACAGCACCAACTTCACAGGGTTGTGGTGAGGACCAAATGAAAGAACAACACTAAAGCACTTTGCAAACTTTAAAGTGCTATACAAATGTTTTTTGTTGATGTTGTGGGGGCAGCTGGATGGCACAGTGGATAGACCACTAGGCCTGGAATCAGGAAGACCTAAGTTCAAATCTTATCTCAGACACAGTGTGACCCTAGGCAAGTCACTTAACCCTGTGCACCTCAGTTTCCTCATTGGTAAAATGATCTGGAGATGGCAAACCACTATAGCATCTTTGCCAAGAAAATCCCAAATGAGGTCCCAAAGAGTCAACTAACCAACAACAAAGCTATTAGATTATCTTTAAGGTCCCTACCAATTCTAAAATTCTATGATCTATAAAATAAAGACAGGATCACAAGATCATAGAAATTAGATTTGGCAGGGACCTTACAAATCATCTAATCCAACTCATTCATTTTATAGTTTAGGAAACTGCATAGGCTCACCTTCGATAAGTCACACACAAGTTTTCACTAGGCCTCAGATCCCTCACTTGTAAAATGAAGTAGTTAAGCTAGCTGACTCCAACTCTAAATCAGTGATCCTATGAGTGATAGTTACCCAAATTCCCCATACAGGTAGAAGATTATCAACAGAATCAGGGTTTGATCCTAAATTGTATCACTTGTACTATCTAACTCCAAGAGTTGTTGTGAAGAATTCACTTTGTAAAGGCATCACTTCAGTCAGGACTGTTGCAATATCAAAGCTCTTTATAACCTGACCCTTGCCCCAACCTTTCTAGTTTTCTTTCACCTTACTCTACTCCACAAACACTTAGATCCAGTGGCACAGGTCTCTTTGCTGTTCCTCAAACAAGACACACTCTCTCCCAACTCTAGGCATTTTCTCTGTCTCCCAAACCTAGAATGCTCTCTTATCGCCTCCTCCAGCCTTCCAAGGCTTCCTTTAAGTCCCAAGCTAAAATCGACCTTTCACAGGAAGACTTTACACACACACACACACACACACACACACACACACACACAGCTAATGCCTTCCCTCTGTGGATTACTTCTATTTTATCCTTCATATAAACTTGTTTATACATAGTTGTTTGCCTTCTGTCTTCCCCTTTAGACTACGAGCTCCTTGACGGCAGGGACCACCTTCTGCCTTTCTCTGTATCCCCACAGGGGATACTTAGCACAGGGTCTGACACATAGTAAGTATTTAATAAATGTTGACTGACTGACTTGAGGGCTACAGAAATGACGATAGTTATGTGGAATCTGGGCCACTTAGCCTTTCTCCACCTGTCTCGTTTTCTGTTAAATGGGAGGGGAGAACTAGAAGAGAAAAAAGTGGATTAGGAAGATCCCTTCCAACTCTAAATCTGTGATCCTATAAAGGGATAATTATCCAAAGTCATCCTACAGCTAGGAAAAAAATAGCAGAGGCAGGATCCGGTCACTCTCTACCTCACAGAGCTGTTGTGAGAAATGCACTTTTAAACTTGACATCAGCACCGCAGAAATGTCAACAGTCAGCTGTGAGCAGTCCAGGACAAGTCACTTCCCTGTCTGGGCGTCAGTCTCCCCATTTGTAAAATGGGGGCGAGAGTGGAACTCGTTTTCTGAGCAGATCCCTTACAGCTTGGCCATTCAGGGACAGCAGCCGAGGAGGGGAACAGGAGGAAGGCGGAGGGAGGGAAGAGAAGACATGAAAAGGCTGGGGAAGGGGCTGGGGCGCAGCATGCAGGGCTGGCGGGGCGCCGTGCCGGGAGGGGCCGAGCTGGGGCGTCCGGCGGAAGGCAGGAGCAGGGGCAGGTGCCCCAGGAGTGGACAGGTGGGGGCAGAGCCCGACACCCCCCCCTCCTCCTACTCCTGCCCCTGCTCCTCTTCCTCCTCCTCTCCGGCTGAAGGCTCAGGCCCCGTGGATGCACTTACACAGCCGGTGGCCCTGGTACCGGGCCGGGCCGGGATGGGACGGGAGGACCAGCCGGGCTGTCGGAGAGCGCAGCAGTAGCCTCCTCCGGCGCGGGCGGTCCCGGCGTGCGAGCCGCGCGCTCAGCTTCCTAGTTGTGCCCCAAACCCCCGCCCGCCGACCAGCTTCTGAGCATGCCCAGTGCAGACCCGCGCAGTCCGCGGAGCCCAGTCCCGGACGCCTCCGATCCGTTTCTCCGGGTTTTGGAGGAGGCCTCCAAATGGGAGGGAGTAGAGAGGCTCCCGCCCAGAGCAGCTGGAGACTCACACCTAGAGAGGGAGACCTTAAGGGTAGAGTTACATCTGGAATGTACCTCGGAAGCCATCTCTCTGGATCATCTGACTGCACATATTCAAGGTTCTTTCCTCAGAACGCCAGTGAGATAACCTATAAAAAATGCTTTGCAAACCTTCAAGAGATATGTGTGTACGTACGTATATACAGACACATATGTACATACATGCATGGCTATACAATATTTGTTGCTATTGTTGAGTCTTTCGGTCGTGTCCGACTCTTCATGATCCCGTATGGGGTTTTCTTGGCAAAAATATTAGAGTCATTTGCTGTTTCCTTCTCCAGCTCATTTTACAGGTGAGGTAACTGAGGCAAGCAGGATTAAGTGACTTGCCCAGAGTCACACGGCTAGTGTCTGGGCCCAGATTTGAACTCTAGTCGGACACAACTGAACACACAAGCACACACTTCACGACTCCAGACCCAGTGCACTGAGCCTCTAGTTGCCTGTTTAAAATATACACATACACAATAAAATAGGCCATAGTGCACCTGTTGCAAATAGTAGTTACTTAATAAATTTAATTAAGCGTTTATTATGAAATAGTGATGCACTATCCTAAAGACAATAGTACTTGCCTACTTCTGGTAAAGAATCAATCAACCAGTATTTATAGCTTTCCTAGAGTCAGGGATAGAGTATAACAGCCTCCTTTCTTAGGTTGGGAAGAGCTCCCCAAATCATTTGTAGCAAGTTCCTTGGAGCCCTTGGCTATGGAGGGTTCTGGGTTCTGTCACTGTTCCCAATAATCTACACTCCCTCCTTAAATGACCCTGGAGCACTACTGGGAAAGTTGGAAATGCTTTGTATACAATATACACATGGATGGATATATAGATATATATGATATACATGCCAACTATCATTATTTTGCAGATAGGGAAACTAAGGCTCAGTCATTGCTCAGGGTCACACAAAAAGTGGCAAAACTGGAATTTTAAACCAAGGTCCTCTGACTCCAAATTAGAAAATTTTGCATATGGCATTTACTGTCTGGGCAACTGGGTGGTACAGTGAATAGAGAGCACTGGACCTGGAATCAGGAAGACTACCTTCCTGAGTTCATATCTAGCCTCAGACACATACTAATTATGTGACTTTAGGCAGATCATTTAACCTTGTTTGCTTCAGTTTGTAAAATGATCTGGAAAAGGAAATGGCAAGCCACTCCAGTATCCTTGCCATGAAAAGGCCCAAAACAGATCATGAAGAGTCGGTTACAACTGAAAAATGATTCATCAACAAAATTGCAAAATAACATCACACCATCCTATCCCAACTCTGGTCATCATCTCCATCTCCTTCCCACAGGTACCTTGAACTCTACCCCTTTGGGTTCTGACAAAAGAGCTTTCACCTTAACTATGGTGGGATCTAGGCCTCCACAGCCTTTCCTGACATTTCCACACCCTACACCCACCTCCCCCACCTTTGCTGCCAGCCTCCCAGCCCCTCTTCACTCTACCCCAGGCTGGGGGCTGTTTTCTCCAAATGGGATGTAAACTCCTTTGGGGGAAGGACTTTCCTGCTCATTTGTGTTTGTATCCCCTCCACTTTCGGCCGAATCTGGCACAAAATAAGCACCTGATGCATAACAAATGTTTTGTCAATCTGTGAGCAGGGTAAGTAACCTGAATCCCAGGGACTCGCTCCTTGGGGTGGAGTGGTACGGAGCCAGAGTGCTCTACTCCCTCGAGTTTTATTCTTCCCTTTTTATAGAAGATTAGGAAATAGAGGCTCCTAGGCATGAAGGGATGGTTGTTTGAACAGAATTAAAATGAACTGAAGCAGCAGTATGGACTGAAACCTAGCTCTGCCCCCACGCTCAAAGCTCTTTGCCTAGCACACCACAACAAGCTCCTGTGGTTACTCAGTAGTTCAGTTATATTCGACTCTTCGTGACCCTGTGTGTTTTTTTGGCAATGAAAATAATAATAACTTATTTAAATTTTGATTTCTAGTTTACAAGGCTTTTCCTCCACATAATCTCATTTTAGCCAAACAATGACCTTGTGAGGTAAAAAGAACAAAATTATTTGTTACCATTTTACAAATGAGGAAACTGAGGATGCAAGGGATAAAGTGACATGCCAGGTAGCACAGCTGGGAATGCACCAAGGGTAATCCAAGTCTCATGGCCAGGTGGGTCCAGAGCTCTTTCCACTACACCAGGCACCCTGACTATACCATTTGTGACACTGTCACACATATGCCATCAGCTAATTTGGGGTGACATCCTTGACTAGGTAGCTTCCTTCAACTGAAAAGAGGTTTACTTTGAAACTATCAAAGGATATGGAGGATCATAGGGTTGGAAGGATATCAAAGGATATGTCATAGGATTATAGGGTTGGAAGAGCCCTTAGAAGCCATCTAGTCTAACACTCTTTTTACAAATGAGGAGACTGAGGCCCAGAAAGTTTAAGTGATTTGCCTGTGATTGCACAGCTAGTAATCATCAGATTGAACCCGTTTTCCTGACTGCCAGTTTAGCCATCTACATATTAATCACTGCTGCCTCTTAGCTCAGCAATATCTGTACAAGGTTTGGTGCTATATGATTAAACTAAAAGGTAACAAGATCCCAAGGTATCCCGAGTGTCCTCTTTATTAGACCATGAATGAATTACTTAGAGGCCCCAGGATTTTAACTTAATGTTCACTTGCAAAGAAAAAACCAAATCTACCTGTCACTTTTGCCACAGTGCACCTGTTACAAATAGAAGATACTTAATAAATATTAAAAAAGTACTTATTAACACCTGCTATGCATCCAACACTTATTGCTTATTTATTCTTAAAAATTTTATGAAATAATGATGCACTGTCCTAAAGATATTATTTGCCTACTTTTGGTAATGAATCAATTGACCAATATTTGTTGAATTGCTTTCTTGGAGTTGGGGTGGGGGGAAGGGTAATATAGCCCCTTTTCTTAGCTTGGGGGGAGCATTTCAAATCAAGTAGAGTAAGTCCCATGGAGCCAAGACACTATGGAAGATTCTGGTTCTGGCACTGTTCCCAAAAATCTACATCCCCTCCTTACCTGACCCTGGGACAGTATTTAGGCAAGATGGAAATTGGCTTGAGAGGACTGTCAACTGAAGAAGCAATTCAATTCAGCTTTAATAAACATGTATGCTGGGTGAATCCTTTACAGCTACTGGAAACATAAGCAGAAAAGTGATACCATCACTCTTAAGGATCACAGAATCATAGATCTGGAGCTGGAAGGAACCTCAAAGGCCATCTAGTCCAGAGGTTCTTGGAAAACAAGAGAGGTAAAATGAGATTGGAAAAGAGTCAATGCTGTCCAGGTTTAAAAAAAAAAAAGAGAGAATGGAATCTATGAATTCTAGGCCAGTGAGCTTGACTTACTTCATTCCTAAAACACTTTGGAATGGATTATTAAAAATATGGTGGGATAGCCCCTAAAAGGGAAGCAGCAATTACAAAGAGCCAGTCTGGCATCATCAAGAACAGTCATGCCAAGACCAGCCTCATTTCCATTTTTAACAGCATAACTAAACTAAGAGATGAAGCCAATGCTGTAGATATTTGCCTAGATTAGCAAAGCATCTCCCATTATTCTTTCAAAGAAGATGGAGAGGAGATTCGACAATAATACAATCAGGATTCAGAACTGGTTGGAGGACTAAAAGCATCATTGTTAATGATTCAAGATCATTGTGGCAGGGAGTCAATCAGTTAGTCAAGTAGCATTTATTAAGTGCCTACTAAGTGTGCCAGGCATTGTGCTAAACATTAAGGATACAATATTACAAACAACCTCTGCTCTCAAGGAGCTCATACTCTTATGGGTAAGCCAACATGCCCACATAAGTACAAACAAGATATATTCAGGATAAACTGGGGATAATCTCACAGGGGAGGGACTATAAGGACTGGGAAAGGCTTCTTGCAGAAGATGGGACTTTAGCTCAGACTGAAGAAAACTAGAAATGAGGAATTCTAGACATGGGGAATGAAATGCCCTGAGTCAGGAGAAACACAGTGAAAATGCACTGTCAGGGAATGAAAAGGAAGGAGTCCAGTGTTACTGGATTGTAGAGTACTTTTTGAGAAGAAAAGTGTAAAAAAAAAAAAGGAAAGAGCAGAAGGCACCAGGTTATAAAGAGTTTTGAAAGCCAAACAGAGGATTTTTATTTGATCCTGGAGGTAATAGGCTGCCAGTGGAGTTTTAGTGAATAAGGGGATGATATCGTCAGACTTTCCTCTTAGTTTGCCAACTGAGTGGAGGATGGGCTGGAATGGGAAAGAGACTTGAGACTGGGAGACCACTCAGCTGCCTATTGCAGTAGTGATAAAGGTGATAAAGGCCTGCAATAAAGTGATGGCAGTGTTGTTATTGTTTGTCAGTCGTTCTAGAAGGGGACCCATGACATCAGGAAGGTGATGCCATGACATGCAAGTGAATTGGATTTAAGTGAGGGAGGACTGTGCAAAGTCACCAGCCTCACTTTCTCCTCTGGAGCCATCTAGGTACAGTGGCAAGATATAGATCAGGATGACAGGAGATGGCCCTGGATGCAGTGGGAGACCTTAGCCTTTTTAAGCTAAGGTCTTTAACAGGTCTCAGTTTAACTGAGGAAACATCCCATTCAGTGACTGAGGATAGGTAAGAAAGGAGACAAAGAATGGCCTCTTTTATCTAGTCAAAAAAAAATCAGTCTGGGTGGGGAAGATCCTCAGGGTTTCTGGTGGCAGTCAGAGGAGAGAAGGGGGCATATAGGAGAAATGTCATAAAGATGGAAGAACAAGGACTTGACCACTGATTGGATGGAAGGAAGGGTTAGAAGAGAGAGTACAACACCTAGGTTGTGAATTTGGGTTCTGAAGTTCTCCAGCAATCGATGAGATTTAACATTTTTACCAATGACTTATATAAAGACACAGATAGTACGTTCATCAAATTTGCAGATTGACACAGAGCCAGGAGGAAAAGCTAATATACTGAATGACAGTCAGGATCCAAAAGCATCTTGACAGGCTAGAGCAGGGACTGGCAAACTATAGCTCATAGTCAAAATCCAACCTGCTACCTATTTTTGTATGACTAGGGAGCCAAGAATGCTTTTTACGTTTTTAAATGGACATGTGAAAATTATATTAAATTCAAATTTCAGTGTCCATAAATAAAGTCTTTTTGGAACACAAGCATACTTGTTCATTTAGCTATTGTTTGTGGCTGCTTTTGCACTACAAAAGCAGAGTTGAGCAGTTATGACAGCGACCATATGTGGTGCTCTCATAACTTCAAACTGCTGCTCAGTGCACTACAAATCACAGTGACACAGTTAAAACTAGATAGCCTTTTGAGTACCATAGGTATCACCATAAAATGATCATTTTTTTTCCTATTACCAATGCATACCTATCACGTCAAAACAAAAGGAAAAAAAGGGGGGAAAAGTTTTATTACTTTTTTAGCTTAGGTCTGAAACTGAAATTTTTTTCTGAATAAGAAGAACCATCCTCAACCATTATTATTGAACACTGAATAGCTTTGGAAATTAGCTTTTGCTTCAGGCTTGATAGTACTTCTAAATGAATTTAAACCAAAATTATGAGGCAAAACAGTGGCTATATACAAAACTTATACTGCAGTCATGTAAATTCAATGACAACTTGTTTGAATCACAAGTAATGTCAAGCTGTTTTATACACTTCCCATGCTGCTGAAAGTTAAAACAAGATGTAAGATCTCCATTCCTACACAAATTTGCAATGGACATATTTTCCAAGTTCAAACTACAGTTCCAACAATGTTTTTCAGACTTCAATATAAGTGCAAAAGAAATTCACATCTTTCAAAATACATTTAGCTATGCAACTGAGGAGCTTCAACCTAACCTTCAACTGGAAATGGTTAATCTGCAACATAATGACCTGCTAAAAAGAAAATATCAAGAGAAAAATCTAAAAGAATTCTGCAAATGCCTTCCAAGCAATGAATATGCTCAATTAAAATCATATGCTCATGGATTAATATCAGTATTTGGTAGTGCTCTATCTGTGTAAGAAGATAAAATATATAAAATCTCATTTACAGATAAGTACTTGCAATCAGTTTTGAAGCTAAGGAATACGATGAATCCTAATTAAGTGAAATATTATCCCCCAAATAAACCAATTCCATTCTTCTCATTAATAGACCACTATTACAAAAAAATTATACTCAGTTATTATGTTTCCAAATTTCCTTATTACTGTTGAAGGCACCACCACCCTCCCAGTCCCTCAAGTTGGTGAAGGTTCTCGTCACCTTACACTTAAGACTATTTCAATAGTCTTTTGATAGATCTGCCTGCCAAAAGTCTCTCCCCACTCCAATTCACCCTCCATTCAGCTGCCAAAACACCATTCATTTTCCTAAAGCACAGGTCTGACCATATCACACACACTCACACACAAATACAAAATCCTCTTGTTGGAGTTCAAAGTCCTTCCTAACCTACCACCCCCTTTTCCAATGTTCTTGGAAATACCTTAACCTTTCTCATGTACTCTTCAATCCAGTAACACTTCTTTGCTGCATCTCCAAGAATTTTCTCTGGCTGTCTCCTGCCTAGAATGCTCTCCCTCCTCATCTTCACCTACTGGCTTCCTTCAAGTCCCAACTAAAACCTCATCTTCTACAGGAAGCCCTTCCCAATCTCTCTTAATTCTAGTGCCTTCCCTCTATAAGTGATTTCCCATGTATTCTATATGTACGTTGTTCATACGGACTTGTTTGCTTGTCTCCCTCATTAGATTGTGAGTTCCACAAGGGCAGTGACTGTCTTTTACCTCTTTTTGTATACCAACCACTTAGCATCATGCCTGGCACATAGAAGGTGCTTAATAAATGTTTATTGACTGACTGACAAGTATCTCCTGCTCCTGACCTGGTTGAATTAGCACTACCTTTTCTGGTTCTTCTCAGTCTCCTCCTCAGTTACAAGAGAGGAAGAACATCAGCAGGTCAGAGCAGCATCAGCCCCACCAGGATGTTCCACTTCAAAATGCAGACCTAGCATAGTCTGCACATCACTTCCTTGATATCATTCTCCACTCTCCTTTTCTCCAAATCTCTGATGACAAAGTAACCCTTCTCGTGTGCACTTGGTCCCATTCCCTTCCATCTTCTTCAGCAAGTTGTAACCTCAATTGGTCTACCCCTTTGAATCTTCAATTTCTCCCTACCATTGGTTCTTTCTCTATTACTTTCAATTATACCCACATCTACCTCATATTTCACCTGTAAAACAACTATACTACATATTAGCTCATCAGTTATCATCTCTGTCAAACATTTTTTTTTAAAGTTTATTGTGGGGAGATGTTAAAAAAAAAAAGTCTGTCAGAACCTTGCCTCAACCTATCCTTCCAATATCTTTACCTATTACTCTCCTTTCATTCTGTAATCCAGCCAAAATAGTTTTCTATCTGATCCTCACAAAGAGCACTCTCTCTCCCATCTCTGTACCTTTGCAGTAGGGCTGAACTCTATGACTGGAATGCTCTCCCTGTTTACCTCTGCTCACAGAAAACCTCTCTTTAACAGCTAGCTCAGGTGCCACTTTCTACAATTACATGAAAAAAAATTTTAATACCCTCAATTGCAACTCGTCTCTTTCAAATTGCCTGATATTTCACTATTTTTAATTTTTTTATTTAATTTTCTTCTCTATATATTCTATATATACTTATATAGGTACTTGTAAACTCCTTTCAAATAGGGATTGCTTCATCTTACTTATATTTCCACTTTATAGCTCAATCTCTGCCATATATTAGGTACTTAATAAATATTGTTGATTGATATTTAACCCGGAGAACAGAAGACTCGAGGCACATAGTAGGTGTCTTCTACCATTTGACGAGGGATTGTACTTGTTCTGTTGGACTAGAGAAGGCAGAATCAGGAACAATGAATAAGTAAAAATTGCAAAAAGGTTTGAGGTCAGGAAGTAACTTCCTAACCAGTAGAAGAACCATTCAAAAATGATTCCGCTTGAGTTACCTCAAGAGATGGTAATGGGTTTTCTCCTTGTTCAAACAGAACCTGGACAAACTTTGGCTATGTTAGAGTGGGGACTGGGTGAGGGCAGGGACTGCCTTTTGTCTCTTTTTGTAATCCCAGCTCAGTCCCTGGCACAAGGTGGGAACTTAACGTTTATTGACGATTAGTACTGACTAATTTGCAGCTTTCAAATATTACGATCCTGATATAAATGAATGAATGAATGAACGAATGGATGAATGGCGCCACTCTGGGACTACGCTTTCTTATCTGTAAAATGAGAAATTTTGATTAGATATGTCAAACGTCTCTTTCAGGGACGTTCACTTGGAGAATGGATATTCAGTAGAAAACTAGAGCCCCAGGCTGTAGTCTCTAGAAGACTCCAAAGAGATACAAAAACTAGAAACCAGTCGCTTTTTCCCCAGCCTCAGCCCACCCCGCCCCGCTGGGTTCCTTGGGTTCCAGCTAGAGGGCGGAGCCCTACCGGCCACGGGACTGACCGCCGCAAAAATCCGGAGCGGCATAATCCAGATGGCCCGAATGATGAAGACTGCGCATGCCCAATAGCAACAGGGTCTCAAGCGAAGACTTTTTTCTCCTCTCCCTCTCCCCTCCCTTCCCCCCTGATCCTGAGGGAACTTCGAATTTGAAAGCGACCGCTGGGGCGTGAACAGAAAGTAAAACTCCACCCCTTGGGTATACACCCCCCATTCCCAGCGGTAACGACCTTAATCGGAACAGCCCACTCACTCCACCCGCCCCTGGCCATGCCCCGCGGGATAAAAGAGAAACTGAAGCTCTCTATCAGAACCACTGTGAGTCACGCTGACCGCAGGCAGAGGGGAGGGAGCGCGAGGAAAACAGCCGGAAATGACGCACGACCGAGGTGACGGCAGGGCAAGGGGAGGAAAAAAACAGGTCTCGTTGCCTTGGAGACCGTTCGGCTCGCCTGCGTCAGGTGTGCGTTATTAGGCTGTTCTGGCCCCGGCGGCCTTGACGTTGTGACTCGTCCTAGGCTTCCCTCCTCCTTCCCCCTCCACAGCGCCGGCCTCCAGCCCTAGCTATTATTGTTCGGATCCATCGAGCTGGGGCGGGGGTGGGGAGGCGGCAGTGACCTTCGGGGATGCTTTACCGACGTCCGCACGGACAAGGGCTCCGCGTTTATCCAGTGTTTAAAGTGGAACCCGTCTGGTCACTACTGGGTGGCTAGTACTGAACCTGAGTTCAAATGCCGCTTCTGTCGCTTTACTCTGTGTGTCCCTGGGCAAATCATTAAACTTTTCCCAGCCCCAGTTTCATTCATCAGTTTATAAAAACCTGGAGATGATGATAGCACCTTACTCCCAGGGTTGATGAGATGACATATAAAGCGCTTTGCAAAACTTACAGCTCTATATAAATGCGGGTGTCATTATCCCCCGTTTACAGATGAACCAAGGAGCGCTTGAGGGGTGAGGAGACGAAAGGATTCTGCAGTGCTCTCGTTAGGATCAGCTACAAGCTCCCGGTTGTTGCTTGAAGCCCTTCACCACCCAGTTCTTGAACTACCTTTCCAGGCTTATCACACGTCATTCCCTGCCATGTCAAATCAGTAAGCATTTATTAAGCACCTACTATGTGGCAGATACTGTGCTAAGAGCTAGAGATTCAAAGAAAAGGAAAAAAACTATACAGTCTAATGAGGGGAAAACACATGCAGATAGCGGTGTACAAGCAAGATAGATATAGGATAAATTGGAGATCATCTTAGATGGGAAGCATGTAAGGGAGATAGAGGAACAGTTTTTATCTGGAATCTGAAAGAAGCCAGAGAAGCCAGGAAACAGAAATGAGAAGGGAGAGGGTTCCAAACATGAGGGACAGGCAGTGGATGGGGGGGGCGGGGAAGAGCCCAGAGATAAGGGAGGGGGGAGTAAATTGTAAGAAGACTGGAATTCCAGGTAGGAAGGAGCCAGGTTATGAACAGCCAGAAAAACAAATAGGCGGTTTCTATTTTTGATCCTGGAAGTAATTGGGGTCTATTGATATGGTCAGACTTGAGCTTTAGGAAGATCAATTTGACATCTGAATGGAGAATGGGCTGGAGTGGGGAGAACGTTCAGGCAGGAAGATCAGCAGGCTGTGTTACAGTAGTCCAGGCAGGTGTTAAAGGCCTGCACTAGAGTGGTAGCGGGTCAGAGGGGAGAACGGAGCATATTGGAGGGATTTTAGGAAGGCAGAATCCACAGCACATAGCAGCTAATTGGATATGAGGAGTGAAAAGGTTAAGAGTTGAGGATGACACCTAAGTTAGGTGTCTGGGTGACTGGGAGGATGGTGGTACCCTCAACAGTAATAGAGATTTTAGGAAGAACGGATGGTTTGGAGGGGGAAATAATGAGTCCTATTTGTTCATGTTAAGTTATAGATGCCTATGAGACCTCCAGTTTGAGATGTCCAATAAGAAGCTGGAAACGCAACACTGAATGTCACAAGAGATGTTAGGGCTGGATAAGATCTGAGAAACATCTGCCTAGAAAAGATAATCCTGTCATGCATTTATCTCAAAGGCCACCTTCTACGTGAGACCTTTCTTTCTTGATCCTCCTGGCTTCATCCCCAGCAATCAGCTTGCATTTTTATAGTGTGTATGTATCTCTGTGTGTAAAATATGTGGCTGCAAGCTCTGGTAGGTCCTAATCAAGTTGGAAAGACTGAGTATGGTCCCAGGTACAGACAATATCCTATGAGGACCAGCCAAACTAATATGGAGAAGCTCAGAACCAGGCTTCAGATAGTTCTAAGGTCATTTACTGATTTGTGGTTTGCAATCTGCATTGGTAAAGGGAGTACCTGCAATGATGAAAAAATAAATCTTTAGAGCAGCACCTTATGCTCATATCTCATGCCACCTATCTCAAAATTCCTAAGTAGCTCCCTATTGCCTATGAAGTTCAAACTCCTTTGTCTGGCATTCTATAATCTGATGTCATCCTACCAACCCATTTTTTCCCTCATACTCCTATCCTCTACTTCAGGCAAACTGGACTATTCTATGTCCCCCCAAACATACTATGTATTTTCCCAATTCTGTGCCTTCACTTATGTTATTCCTCATGTTTGAAATCGTCAACCTAATTGAATTTATCATTTGAAATGAACCTATCATTTAAAGCGCAATTTAAATTTTACCTCCTTCATGATTCATTTCCTGATCCCTCCAATCGGTAATGACCTTCTCCCCTCACAAAGCACTTTGATTTTTTTACTATTCTAATGCATTTTCATGTATTATTATTTATTTTGTTTCTATTATGACACCTGTATAGGTGTCATCTTAATAAACTGTAAGTTCTATGAGGACAAAGACCATGCCTTCTCTAAACTTTATATCTCCCCAAATATCTACCACAGGTAGAGAGCTGGAATGGACCACATAGACCATATAGTCCACCACCCTCATTTTACAATTGAGGAAATTGTTGCCCAGGGAGATTGAAAAAGTTGCTCAAGGTCACATAGGTAGTTAACATAAGTGTTTAATTGATGCTTATTTATTTGAAATGAATTATTATAGTTTGACTTTTATTGTTACACTTGTATTGGGACTTCTTTTTGACACAAAGGGAATTCCTAAACTTCTCTGACTCGATTTGTCCTACCTAAGCAGAACCTGGGAACTTCAATATCCAGCATAGTCTCCCAAAGGTAGAAGTCAGCTCTTCTTATAATTATTCAGGTTCACAATGGATCAAACAAAGAGCTAGTTTTATTTATACAGTAAAGAGCAGAGGAAAAAACTCATATTCAAGTCCCCAGAGAGCTATACGGTTCCTTCAAGAGTACTTTACTGGTAGGGGCTCCAGGTAGGCAGAAAGTCTCCTATTGTTCATTATAATAGCTCCTAGATGATGTTATGGTCCTTCTTGATGTTCACTCTTCTTCCCAGAAGATGGAGGAAGGAGGTCAGAGGTCAGGATACTCTTTAGCCATCCACCTTTTCACCCAGGTCCCATAGCTTCAACTTCTAGGTGGCCTTTTTCTACTGAATCTGTTTCCCACTCCTTCACCATTAGAGTGAAGCCCCAACATTTATCTTTTGCTTTGGCCAGTGCCTAGGCAGTATGCCTCTTGCTCAGATAGTGCTTTCCAAAGAACTTTCATGGGGCTCAGAAAGGAACTTCTACTATTTATTTTTGCCTTTCTCCTCCCATCTTCTTCCAGGGCAGCTGAGCCAGGGATTCAAATGGGCCCAGGGATACCTTGAAGAAGCAGTAGAAAGGGGAAGAAAAGATTTACTCTGCTCCAGAGGCAAAGGCAAAGGCAGCCTTCTTTGCCTATTGAGATATAGATTAGGAGGTGAAGCTAAAAGAGAAGGTCTTCATAAGCTTCTCTGGCCCCCAGCCTTCGAATGTGGACACTGTCAGCCAGGTCCAATGACAGCTTTCCTCTTCTCACCAGGCAATTCCTATTCCCTAATCAACCCCCATTGACTCTACCACTGAAGAGAACTTTCTGAGGGGAGAATGAGACTTTAGTGAATGAGGCAACATGATCCGAGACCAGCCTAATCAGTGACATCAAAAATAATGTTTGGCTCATTTTAACCTGTGGGCAGAAAACCCCTAGATCCAGTTTAGTTCTACCTTTTGGAAGTTTATAAAATTATAAATAATCAAACCAATAAAATTTTTAGTTCAAAATACCCAGATAGGACTCTTTGCCCCTACGCCCACCCCCAAATCCCTACCGCTGGAGACAGAGAGCTTCTGATTTCCTCCATGTATACCAATTCCAAGACGTTTTCTCCTTCCCTCAAAACACCTTCCTCACAATTAAGGACATATGTGAGTCCAAAAACAATTAAGATCAATCATATTTTTATCTAGAGAAAGCCCACTTTGGTACTAATTAAAACAGAAGGTATAAACATAGCTTTAAAGGACAAGGGGAGAAATCTTTGGAGTAAACATCTTCTATCTCAAGCAGCAGCAAAGGGAGATGGGAAATAGCCACTTTTCTGTCTGTTACCTAGTCTCCCAAAAGGAAAATAAGTGACCACTGGCGGCTCAGATACCTACTCTGACCACTGAAAACAGAGATAACTGCACCTCCCAGGGGCAGCAGCTTCCACAAGAACCTGTGGCCCTGTTGCGTTCACCTTCCCAGCCTCCAATTTCCTGCACCAAGTATCACTACTCTATGTCCTTACTGCCACCACTTCTGCTGAAGACCCCTCCTGCTTTTCTGTTGCTGTTTTCCTTATTTCTTCATATGTCTTCTTGAGTAACCTATGTAAGCTATGAGGATTTTTATCCCAATTCCCACTCTCACAGGTCCTGGAGGGAGACAACATCCTTCCATAAGGTTTTTAGAAATACCTCTAAGGAGTCAAGGGTGATTCATTAATGCCACTGGCTCAAACCTGCACCAATGTGCTTTCCTATACTTCGATCCCCTTAAATTGTCAACTGAGAATCATTTTAGTTAGCCAAATATAAGAGGCATTTAGGGGTATTCACTAAGGTGGTAAAGTCAGAGCCATTATTACAAACATCCCACCAAAAGTCTTCAACAGCCTCTCTGAAGTACAGATAGAGTGTAGGGGAAATTGGGCTCAAGGTCAGAAAAGCATAAATTGCCAAAAAATAATTCACAGTTCTGTGTTGGTGGAACTCCTTTTCTCCTAATTGAGGGGTGCTCAAGACATTCCCTTAAAGCATAGTATGGTTTCAATACTGGTCTCTCCATGGACCCATAAACTGATTTCTGATCTGTCCTTGATTCCCAATGTAAACACTCCAGTTAGCTGATGTACCACCATCCTACTAGTCACCCACGCTAAAAATCTAAGTGTTATCCTTGACTCTTCACTCTCTCTTACCCCACCGCATTCATATTCAATCTGTTGCCAAGTCTTGTCAATTTTACCTTTGAAAAATCTCTCCTCTAACACTGCCACGATTTGGTACAATCCCTCATCACCTCATTCCTGGACTGCTATAATAGCTTGCTGGTTGGTCTCCCTATAAGAAGATTCTCCTACTACAATCCATAATCCAGTTAGCTATCAAATTGATCTTCCTAAAGCACAAGTCTGAGCATGTCATCCCCCCATTACTCAGTAAACTGCAGTGGCTCCCTATTACCACCATTATCAAATATGATATCCTGTTTGGCTTTCAAAACCCTTTGTAATCTGTGTCCCCTCTACCTTTCCACTCTTCTAATAACTTACACTCTCCATCTCCCCACCCCCTTACCACCATCCTGTACTCTGCAGTCCAGTGACACTGACATCCTTGTTGTTCCTTAAACAAGACACACCATCTTCTGACTCGGAATTTTCGCTAGCTGTCCCTCATATCTGGAGTGCTTTCCCTTGTCATCTTGGGCTTCCTTCAAGTCCTAGCTAAAAATCTCACCTTCTAAAGGAAGTCTTTCTCAATCTCTCTTAATTATTTTAGCATCTTCCCTCTGTTCATTTTCTCTCTGTCTCTCTCTCTCTCTCTGTCTCTCTTTCCATCTCTGTCTCTCTCTATATATGTATGTATATGTGTGTGCATGTATCTATCTGTCTGTCTGTATGTATGTCTATATGGAGAGAGAGAATGGCAGCTAGGTGGCTCAGTGGATACAGTGCTGGGTCTGAAGTCAGAAGAGCCTGAGTTCAAATATCTACTCATATACTTAATTTAACTCCTGTTTGCCTCAGTTGCCTCACTTGTAAAATGAGGATAATAACAGCACCTACCTCTCAGGGTTGTTGTGAGAATAAAATGATATAATAATTTTAGAGCACTTAGCACAGTGCCTGGCATAGAGTAAGTGGTATATAAATGTTAGTTATTATTATGTATATATTATTTGTACATAGCTGCTTGTATATTGTTCCCCCATTAGACTATGAGCACCTTGAGAGCAAGGACTGTCATTTGCCTTTCTTTGTGTCCCTAGCAATTAACACAGTGTCTAGCACATAGTAGGTTCTTAATGAATGCTTATTAACTGACTGATTGATCCAGGATATAACCAAGATACTGTGGGAAGATGGGAAGTCCAATATTCTCCAGACCTTTCAAAGCTCTGAAGGTATTCATTCCTCTGGCTCAGGGTGGGAAGGAAGGAGGCAAAAACCTCCCCTTCTTTCCCGAGTCTGTTCCTCTTCAGGGGTTTGCTAGAACCCTACCTCTTGGCTTTCCAGTCACTGGAACTTATTAAATCCATCTAACTCAATGGACCCCTGAGTGATAAAATCCCTCAGCCAATTGGAATAACTTCCTACCTAGTGTCATTACACTGCATCCAATTTCTTTCAAAGACTTTTTGCACTTAGTCTAAAGCCTATAAAGGAGATATATTGATTGATTGAGCTTTTCACTTATGTTAAGTGGGGTGATTTGATGAATAAATGTATTGAATAAATCAATCATCACTCTGACCCTTTACCTTTAATACTACATATACCAGAAACTCAGACAGTCAGGCTCCAAACATTTCTCACTGCCCACAGAAGTCTGTCTCAAAATGTAGTTACTCAAAGATTCATGTTCCTTCTTCATAAGTAAAAAATATAAAAATATAAAAAAGAAAATGGTTGATAGAAAGGGATTGTAATGCCAGACATGACCACCAGGTGCCATAACAAGTTAAGTAGACACTGTATCTACTATACTGAATTACTCAGGTAATTGCCTTTATACTCCCTTTCACTCACTGTTTTACTGATAACCAATCCATTTGGTGATCCATCTCCCTCAACAAATTCTAGACTAGATCATTTGAGGAGGGTTTGTTCAAAGTTGGTAGATAATTTAGACTTTTTTTTTAAAACCTGAATTACTTAGATTATAAATTGACCCTTTTTTTTCCCCTCTTGGGAAGTAGA